ATTATGAGAATTACTAACAAACTTTGTGAAGCATTGTACCAAACATCTCAAGATACTTTGAATGCTGTGTTTGATATTTATCTCAAAATTACTTATTCAAAAGTTAAAAGATTACAATTGGAAATGTTTTTTTCCCCTAAAAAAAGTGTCTTATTTTTGTAATAGTTTAGTTATTGAAATTCTTTATAGGAATGTTTTTACTTTGTAATCTTGACCCCTCTTAATTAAAATTTATGGCTCCACACCTTTCATAGAATAACATTTTAAGTTTTAACTTCTTTATAATTTTTAAAGGGTATTATGGAAAACAAGTCTTTATTGTGATTTGAAATTTAAAACAGAAAAATACTTAAGAACAAAAAAAAAAAACATTATGACAAGAAAATAGAGAGAAAATAATTTTCAGCAGGGGCTTAGAACATGTACGTTATGAAAAAAGTTGGTGACATCTTTTCCATTCACGCGACGTCCTTTTCATTCACCACAACCGCACAACTGGAGCGACAACGTTTTATTGAAAGGTAATCCTGAGAGAAAGATTGTGCCCCGCAATAGTGGCACCCTAATATATACTCCCCATCTTAAATTATAAGATAATTTGAGATAAGATTATATATATCTGTTTGCACCCAAATTATAAATTTAGAAACCCAGACTCAACTCAACTTAATTGATTTTAAAATAATTAAAAGAAAAATTTATGAAGCTTTAGCCACTAAGTCATCCACACTCTACTCATGATGGAGGAAGTGGTTCCTAAATTCAAGAAAATTGGCAATCATGGGGCTTGGGTACAAAGCGAAAATTATCTATAAATAGAGGAGCTTTCTCTCAACAATTAAGATCAGCATCAACAAACTACCAGTCCTAGACTCTGCTTTTGCTACTTAATTTTATTTTTCCTTTTATTATGTAGTTTTAGTCTTTATTTTTCTATTGTATGGCTGGCATAGCCTGCCACCTTTTTATTTAATTAATGTATATTTGCTTTCCTGCATCTATATTAATTTTCTTCACTTTGCATTCTTACATCTAGAAGATTAACAATGAGGATAGCTATAATATCCCTCAAAGGATAAATGGCGGGTCTAATTCAATAGGGGGCCCATTCGGCCACAGGGCCAACACCATAAGGGCCAGAGTTATTAGGGTCAGCATTAAAAGGATCGGAGCCATAAGGGCTAGTAGAGCCACTGGGGTTGGAATTACAGGGGCTTACACCACAAGGGCCAGAGCCATTAGGCCTTGAACCATAAGGGCCAGCGCCATTGGGGCTAGCATTAGAGGGCCCGAAGTCACAAGGGCCAACAGAGCTATTAAGGCTAGCACTAGAGGGGCTAGAGCCACAAGGGCTAGCACCATAAGGGCCAAAGCCTTTGGGGCCAGTACCAGAGGGGCTGGAGCCATAAGGTCTAGTGGAGCCATTGGGGTCGGAACCACAAGGGCCAAAGCCATTAGGATGGAAACCATAGGGCCAAGCACCAGAGGGGCTAGAGTCACAAGGGTCAATGCCATAGAGGCTAAAGCCACAATGGCTAGAAGAGCTATTAGGACCGGAACCATAGAGGCCAACACCAGAAGGGCCAAAGTCAACAGGGTCGAAGTTATTGGGGCGACAACTATAAGGGCCAGTGCCACAGAGGTCGAAGCCATAAGGGCCAACGGAGTCACTAGGACCAACATTAGAGGGGCTAGCACCACTAAGGCTGAAGCCATAAGGGCCAATGGAGCTATTGGGGCCAAAACCATTAGGGCTAGTATTAAAGGGGCCAACACTGATGGGCTAGAGTCACAGGGGTTAGAACCATAAGGGTCAATATCAGAAGGGCCAGCACCACAGGGGTTATAGCCATAAGTGCCAATGCCACAAGGGCTAAAGTTAGAAATGCGACCTTTGTAAAGGCCTTTTCCATAAGAGCTCTCTCTATAGGGGCTCTGTAGTAGCTAGATTTTATAGGACTAATCTTTAAAGTTCAAAAACTTGAAGGGCCAATTCCAAAATCAGCTCTTAAGGTCCTAAACGTGGAGAAAGTTGATCTCAAGCTAGACCATATGGTCTTTAATCCTCAACCACAAGAGTTTCCTTCAAGTAAAGTACCAGATCAACTATCAATCAGAACGGAAATGAGCTAGTCCTCTAAGACATACTATTCATGCAATGCTTGAAAGTGGAGTCAATGGAAATATCCATACAAAATTAGCCTACGAAGGCTCCGGCCAATTTCTATGTGGGGGCATTGTTTGCACCTAAATTGTGAATTTGGAGGCTTAGGCTCAACTCAACTTAATTGACTTTAAAATAATAAAAAAAATATTTATGAAGCCTTAGCCACTAAGTCATTCACCCTCCACCTATGATGAGTAATCATGATGGAGGAAGTAGTTCCTAAATTCAAGGAAACTGGCGATCATGGAACTTGAGCACCAAGCTAGGATCAAGATCAGCATCAACAAACTACTAGTCTCAGACTCCACGGCTACTACTTTACTTTATTTTATTTTTCCTTTTATCATGAAGTTTTAGTCTTTATTTTTCTGTTATACGGTCGATATAGCCGACCACTTATTTCTTTAATTAATGTATCTCTACTTCCCTGCATTTGTATTAATTTTCTTTACTTCGCATTCTCACATTCGAGTGAACTGTGGTAAGGAAGTCCAAGTTTCTCGTGTTTGATTAGAAGTTAGGTTCTTCCATCCTTTTGAGGCCTAGCATCTCTGGAATGCCTCGCGACACCCCATTTTATTTTTGACGAGCAATATTAATCAAATTTAATAATGACACCTTACAAACTTACTTTTTAAAACAAAAGTATAAACTTTTAAAAATATCCCAACACATTTAATCATTACAATCATCTCTTCTCTTGAAGGTAGTATTGAAAAAGCATTACTAATAAAATCTTATCTTTGTCAAATTATCTAATATTTTGGGACTGTTGGAATATTAAGAGTGATTAGTGTTGATTACTTAGTTGTTGATCATCCTAAAATCTTTATAAAGCACGTCATATTCTATTAGAGGTTAGGAGGTTTAGTCCTATTTCAAGAGGGAAGTTAACAAATGTCCTCACCTCATGTTTCACCTCAAAATGGTTTTCAGATTTGGTTGAGGGATCATATTGTTCTTACTTTCAGCCGTAATATTCATGATGCTGTTCATCTTATTTTCTTTTATTCTATTTTGTATCTCAATAGGAGAATAACATACCTCCAAAATTATCTTATAATACTGAGGTAGTATATCATCACTCCTGCATGTGTAAGGGCTTGATATAGTCATAATTTTTGGAGTATTCTAGGAGTTGAACTCAAGGAAAAGCAATAACTTTGTCATTTAATAAAAAAAATAATAGTTTTGAAAGGAGATTTAATATTCAGTTGGATAACGCAAAATAAAAAGCAATGATAAAAGCAACAAATCAACTAATTAGACAAATGCCATGAATTAGGATTCACCTACCAGAATGGTTTACTCTAATTCAGTTAATTATCTTCCTTTTATTTATAGTAACAATCATTACTAAGGTATCCTAATTACCTCTTACTATACTAGGATGTATTTATTTAAGGTTGAATTAGCCCTTGCTAATCTTATTGAGATGTTGAATAAACCATGAAGCAATGATTTAAGCTACTACAAATCCTAAATTATTTTTAATTTAGTTATTTGTTTCTATTTCTTTAGGTCTAGACTAACTCTTCACATCTCAATTCTTCAAATAGCCCACAAACAAATTATATACTAGCCACATATATAACAATGCAATAAAGAACTAGAGAGTAAATATAAATAAACAAAAATTCATATTCGATAGGAAAATAAAATAAGCAAATAAAAGAAAAATCTATCCCAACCAATCCCTACCTTGATTGGGAGTTTGGAAACAACTCATAAACTTTAAAGTAAAAATCTCAAATAAAAACATAAACAAAATCTAAAGAAGAACAGAATAGAGAAAGCTCCCATGGTCCTGCATGGAGGTAATGTATGTTCGTGCATGGTTGTGTTTCAGAGGGCTTTGTTCTCACCTTTGTAAGTTATGTCCGTGCATGGATAAGATACGCCTGTGGACGGATAAGATCTGTGTTGAGTTGTCCACGCATGGAGATGTTCTTTTGGGCTTGATTGTTGGGCTTTCACTCTAGTCTTACATTTTAGGCTCTTTTCCAAGCTATTTTATCACATTTTCCTAAAAATACACCAAAAGTATTAAGTAAGGCCTTTTATCCATATTCATCTTTTTTATTCATTATTTAATAAATAAATAAAGGGTGGAAAAATATATAAATCTAACTAAAATATCCACTTACCAGTATATGTATATAAGCTTCATTATTGCATGATTAATTTTGAGAAATGACTCTTGAAGGCAGTTTAGTTGGAAAGAGTGGTAATGAAATATATTAAATAAAAAATAAAATGATTAAAATGTAAAAAGGAAATAGATAAACCATATTTAGGAGATTGAGAATCATAATTTGTGGGAGGTGTAGTGATTTTTTATGTTGAGTTTTCCCATAGAAAATAATACTCTTTCTATTTAAAAATAGAAGGCATTTTTAATTAAATTTTACCTTCAATAAAATAGTTAGCTGTGAGACTAACATCATCTTTTCACATTCACTCTTATTTAATAGGGTGTTTCATTTTAAAATAAACATAAAGTGATTTATTTATTAATGGTACTTTTAATTAACAAAATAAAAAAAAATTAAAGATTCTTTAAAAAAGATACAATGATTATACCTTCCATTTTTTTCACTCACCAACAACGGAGTTACAAGTTTTAAAAGATTAATTAACTGCCCTATCTATCTATCTCTATCAGCCTTTTGTCTTATTTTTCCCAATCATTTTTTTTGGCCAACTTTTTTTTTTTTTTCCAATCATGAAGCTGCGAAATTAATGAACTAGCTCACAACTCTAATGTAAATAAGAAACGAACACCCAAACTACCCCTCCAAATCATCAATTGTGTCTATAAATAGAAGCCTTCATCTTCTCGTTTCCACACCACCACATCACACAGAAAAAAACCGTCTCTGCGCATAGCCAAATCGTCTCAAGCAATGAAGGCCACCTTGCTTGCCCTCTTCCTTGTCCTCGCCTTCACCTCAGCCAAAGCTGATTTTGTGATTGACACTGAAGGCAACCGCATGAGAAATGGCGGCCAATACTACATCCTCCCAGCCCATGAGGGAAACGGCGGCGGCATCGACCTCGCTGCTACCGGCAAGGAATCTTGCCCTCTTACCGTTGTCCAGACCCCCTCTGAACAATCCAACGGCTTACCCACCAGAATTTCATCTCCATACAGAATCGCAGATCTCCCCACAAATTTCCCTGTGGAATTCACGGTCGTTGCACCGCCAAAATGTGCCCAGACGCCGGCGAAATGGACGATTGTGGGCAGAGAAGATGAGAGAAGGGAAGTGAAACTTGCCGGGCACAAAAACACCGAGCGTGGTTCGTTTGAAATTAGGACCCATCGTGGTACGACATATAAGATGGTGTTTTGTCCCAGTGATGAAGAATATTCTTGTGCAGCTCTTGGGATTTCCAAGGACAAGAAAGGAAACAGGCGTTTGGTTATTGATAATGACAATCCTTTCATTGTTGTGTTTCAAAGAGCTGGATCATCTGCTGAATGAAAGAGCTTTCTCTATCGAAATGGTGATGAAGCCACAACTAGTTGCAAGCAGTTTATATAACTCCTTGCACTTACAAAATAATATATGAAATAATGCTTCATCTGCCTTCCTTTTCTCCATGTGTATCTGAAGTCTAAAATAAATAAAATTATATATCTCAAGAGGCTTCCTTCTCTCTCTCTCTCTCTCTATTTTATATATATATATATTATTACGTTTAAAAATATTGTATAACTTGAATATTACATGTTATTTAAACAGGCATTTCTAAACCAGTTGTTGCGCCTACAGTTTGGAAAGTATGAAAAACATATGACGTGCTTGAAAAGGCTATTTCGTTTGTGTCAGACCTGACTCGAATCTCGATTAATTAGTCGGCACTATCTGTTTCAGACTTAATGGTTTGATAAAAAGGAAGAATAAAAAAAAAGAATCACAATTATTCTCAGCAGTACCACGAAGAACCTCCCACTTACTCTTTTCTTTTATGATCAGTCATACCTTTTGACATTTCAACATGCTGCCCCAATTATAGCAACGGTAAATTTGGACTTGAAGCTTGAAAACAATCGCAATCAGTAATTGCTTAAAGATAAAAACACCAGCTACAATGTGAACTAGAAATTTAAGTCCCGATTGTTTAAACTAATTAGATATTGCTCTATGATAATTAAGTTTAGATTATTTTTATTTTGTAATTTTTTGCTCTAAGTTATTTTTATTTTATAAAATATATAAAAAGATAGAAAACAAGTTTAGACTTGAGAGGACTTATTCTGATCTAACCATGACCGAGAGAATCTCAATATTTTAAACTTATAGCCTGATCAATTAACTCTCACTTATTAATTGTAGAACAAATCAATAATGCTATGATCTTTGATGATAAAGTCCTTACATTGTAATTGGATTTGAATTCATCTTGTGGTTATAAGCCAAACTTTTTATCGATTGAACTAATTTTGTTACCTATTATTATTCATTTTTAATCATAATGGCCATATTTTTTTCACACTTTTTATATCTTGGTCCAATTATTGTAACCGAAAATTCATAGATTTGAAGCATGAAACTGACTGCAATCATTTCTGTCTTTAACAGTGGCTACTTTTAAAATTTTGGGAAAAAATAAAAAATTATTTAGATAAATTTTTTTAGATTTAAATATTTTTTAAAACTATTTTCATTTTCTTTCTTTTATTCAAAATAAGAAAATTGAAATATCTTACACTGCTTTATGCTTATTTATTTTTTAAAACTACATTTATTTTTCAGAACACGTGCCTCTTGGGTTAGAGAATTATAATTATTCACACGTTGGCTCAGATGGAACGGATATGAGCTCATTGGCAATCAACTACTGGGTTCAATCCTTGTGGCGATGGGAATAGAGATGATATGCTTGGAAAAACTATCCTCATTTTGGGCTTGACTGTGTTTGAATATGAATTAGTTGAAACTATCAGCTTCAAATATTGGGTGATTTATTATACAGAAAGAACGTTCTTGGGAACTTTACCTCTGCTTGCGGCCTTACATGTTTGAGTTCGAATTAGTTGGATTTGTTAACTTAGGATACCAGGTGGTTTGCAAAAATCACAATTATTATGCAAAAATGCAACCTAGAACCTCCCACTTGTCCTTTTTCTTTTCTAATTTTTTTTATTGTTCAAAGTATTCCCATAGTCAGCTGCTGTGAGATTAATCTCTTGAGGAATTTGAGCACCATTTAAAGGGTCACTTTTCTTTTATGATCAGTCATATCTTTCACATTTTTTTGGGAGAATCACATCTAACGCCAATTGAAGGAACATATTTACAAAGTAGGCCCAACAGATTTTGACATTCCTCTGTAGGTCCAAAGGCCTCAAATGCAATTATTTTTGAAGGTAAAAAGACTGAACTACCCTTGATGAGTGTATGTATATGTGCTGTATGTTAATCAAAGAGGAGTAACAATTAAAGGCCAATGAATAACAAACAAAGTCCAATTGTTTATAACAATAAGTCTGCTTATTTACAAGAGTCCGTGTGAGTTTACACTTAGAAAAATTTACAAGCTAGCCAAATACAATTAACAACATAAAGTTCATAGTTAAATAATAAGAAAAGTTCAATTATTTTTAACAAAAAGTCTGTTTATTGATAAGATTCCATAGAGGGTTATATTTGTATTTGAGAAAATTTACTAGTTAATTGAAGAAAATTAATAACAATAGGTCTGTAATTATTACAAAAAGTCTCATGTTCTCCCCCCCCCCAACTCTTCTTCTTCTTGTTTTTTTTTTTTGTTTTGATATGTTGTTGCAATTATTGCAGCCTTGAATTTGTACTTGAAGCGCGAAAACAATCGCTATCATTATTTAGGGCGGTAAATCTGGCCCTTTACAATAAAGGCACCAGCTATAAAACTTGAACTAGAAATTTAAGTCCCGATCGTTTAAACTCACTAGATATTGCTCAATGAAAATTAAGTTTGGATTTCTTTTTTTAATTTTGTAAATTTAATATGTAAATAATACAAATGAAAAGATACTTAACAAGTTGATGAGAGGACTTATTCTGATCCAAACATGAGTGACAAAGTGTCCAAATTCAAACGGAAGTCTCAAATTTAAACTTAGCGTCATTCATTAACTCTCAGTTATTATGTGAAGGACAAAATGATATATCTTTTTCACTGACGGGTTTCCGTCCTTTTCATTTACCACAACCGCACAGATGTGGCGACAAGGTTTCATTGAAAAGATAATGATTAATAAATGACAAAAATTCATATGCAAGTGCTCAGATAACACTATTAAGAATTTGGGTTTCAAAAATGTTGAGATTGTTGATGTTGATGGCTTTGTTGGTGGAATTTGGTTTATGTGAAATGAAAGCAATATTAATATTATTGTGCTAAATAAACACAAGAAGTTTCGCCATTTTGTCTTTTGTCTTTTGTTTTGGATAATGATGATGTTCAGTGGAAATGTTTCTTTCTCTATGCTAGCCCTCATGAATTTAAGCGGACTGAGTTATGGCCGGTGCTTCATGACATTATTAATAATTGTTGGTTTCCCTGCTTATTGGGATGTGATTTCAGTGAAATTAGTAGTTTGAATGAGCAAAAAGGAGGGGTCCGTGTTAGCAATGCTTGATTGCCAATTTCTGTAATTGGATTAATAGTTGAAGTTTAATAGATTTTACGGCTCACAACAAGAAAGCAAGAAATTTGGGACAGAATTTTGGGATGGAATATCAAGAGTCACAAATGCATCTCAAATCTATTCTAAATTTCATCCTAACTATTTGTCCCGGATATTGAGTATATTTAATTTGTATGAAATTATATAATTTTAAATTTTTTTATTTTACACAAATGTCAATTTTAATTATAATTGAAATAAACATATATTTATACTAATTTTTGTTGATTTATTATAAATTATATATTTATATATATTTATAATTAATTTGCATTACTTAAGTATATATTATTTGATTAGAATAATATGTTAATGATTATAATTAAAGTAAAAATGATGAAGCGTGGGGTCTTATAAATTTTTAGTTTGGAAATTATTTACAATAATTAGCTAATTAAAATATAAGGTAGAGGGGAACTTCGATTACATTATTATCTCTATAATTAAAATACAAATACACCTTCTAGTCTCTAAGTAGAACTGATTTAGTTTCTTCAAGAATCTCATGGCAAGGGTAATCTTGTTTTCCTTCTCTACTAATCAAAATTATTGTCTTACATAAAATCACTATATGCACTTCACATGTCTGACATTTTCTTTACCAAATATTCAATTGAATAATTAAAGTTTTATTGTTGCTATATTATGTGGCAGGTCATTCAAATGGTTTCTAAAATCTACAATCCCATTTGTATTAATAATATAGTCATAAAGTAAATAAAACTGTATAATATTAGTTTTTCCTAAAACTTTAATTTAATATAAATTATTAGGTTTTTTATGTGTAACTCATACTGATATTCTTACTTCAACCTATTTTAGAACCCAAATTCTTCCTTTCACACCTCATAACAATTTCTGTACTACCCCCAATAATTATTATTTTAATTATATTTTGGATCCAACACAAAGGACAAGATCAATGCGAATATTTTCTTGTTTGAAGACTATTGGTTCATATGCTTATAACGTTATGATGTTTTTGACTTGCTAATTTGTAATTATATTTCTTGAATTTTTTCGTTTATATATGGAGTTGTATATTGAATGAAACTCAGTATAAATAAATCTAGAAATAAAATAGGGAGCATAATGGATGCTCTAGAAAGTTGTAGATGGATGTATGATAGAATAGATTCAAGATGTGGATACTTGACAAAAGAATTTATTGAAGGTGTCGAAGAGTTTCAGTTGCCTCCTTAAATAGATTTGATGGAAAATAGGGGTTTTATGCGCTAGGTATAAATGCCTAAAATATCTATCTCTTGACAGTGTAAAGTCACATTCATATAAACATGGATTTAAGGCAGACTATTATCAATAGACTAGTCATGGTGAATAGTTTATTGAGGCAAGTACAAGTTTATATTATAACATGAATGTCTGTTTGTAACTGTTAAAATTGATATTTATAATTTATTTTTTAGAAAATTTTGTCTAGGAACTAACTGTCATTAATTCATTCTTTTAGAATCTGACTGTCATTTTCTCTTGAATATATATTGTTGCCCCAATTCGAAATTTCCCAAGGAGGAAAATTGAATAAAAAATAGATGTTTAGGAGTTGTCACTAAAATTTTTAAGAGGTAATTTTGGAAAACTTTTTTGACATGTAGTCTACGTATAGAGAAAAAGGTAAGGGAGTCGATTGTAAGTGAGAAAGTTGTTAGACACCCCACAACACCCATTCATATGAAAGGTTACCTTAAGTTAACTATATAAATTTAAGTAGCCTTAACAATATATTAATTATCCTTAATAAAAATAAGATAAAAAGTAAGAAAATTAAGAAGGAAAAAATTTATTTATTTATAAGTTGAACTTGACCTAGGATCACACCCTAGGGTCAGTGTACTTTTTTAAAAGATCAAAGCCCACGTAGTTCAAGGTAAAAATGCGTGTCTCTTTGTTGGGAATTTTTTAGGAAAAATATTAATTATGAATTTTTCATAAAATAATTTTAATGTTGG